GGAGAAGCACTCAGCTGCCCATCTGTTCATCTGTTTTTTATCGGGGATCATCTTTCTATAAACGCGCTTTCAACGAGGTCAGGAACCTTCTTCCTCTGGAGTTATGGAGCAGAGTTCCAGTATTGGCAACCAAGTACTGCTTGCTCGCGTCGCTCAGAATAGGCCAGACTCATTTTCTATCCTGAAGACCTTACCATTCTTCAGCCTTTTCTATTGACATAAATGAATCTCCATGCAATCATATGATTTGTCGAGGACTCAATTCGTTGGCTTTCTTTATTTCTCCGTCATCTAGAGCTAGAGGTCAAAATCCACGATCTTCGTCCTCAGGTCCTTTACCTCAGCTTGGAAGAGCTGAAACCATAGCTGAAAGTGCTTCAGAGACAGAGTGTTGCTGCTCAATGTTTTGACACTCTTATATTCACCTTTATATTTTTATATTATTTTTTATATTCTTTTTATTATTTATTGTATATTATATTTATTATGTCTATATCCTTTATTATATTCTTTCTCACCATTATATTTACATATGGAGCTGTTAAAAATTACTTCTTACTATTATTTTTGCACACAATGAGTGGGATTCGTTGGCCGTTTTTCCTTTGCTTGAATATATACGCTCAGACGATGTTTTCTGATCAATCATCTTCGAGCAAAAGTTTTGGCTCGAAGAACATCCGCTCAGTGGCGCCTAAGATTTCGCAATATGCGTGCTGAATCGCTCTCTCGAATGAATGGTCTCCCATATTACGAGGTTGTGTTTAAGCTGAGAAACAAAGCACAAAAGGAAGCGACATTTCAATGTAGCCAACATAACATATAGGTCTAGCAGCCTTGATTTGAATTGCTCACCTTACAGTGCTTGCACTAGCCACACGGGTATTTTCTGTTGGCACGTATTATTCGTTATTGTTCCAACTGTGCTAGGAATGGACAATAATATTGAAGTCGAGCCGAAGAGGTGCCGAACTATTGCATATAACTACTGCAGAATCTGTAGGATAGTGTTCCAGAATATGTGCACTAGGGATGTGTCCAATCAAGGAAACCTACTAACGATGAGATGAGTATTGCAGTTCATGAGGAGACGAACAGAGCCATGAGCTCCTTAGGCCATGGTGGGAGGCTTATATGTATACAGTGCCAAAATTCTCCATATGCAGCTGTGACTTCAAAAAGTGGTCATATCCAACTGGCAAGAAGAAACATAGCGCACGTCGTGATGCTCTTGTTCCCCAGTGACAAATCTTTCTATAGATTATGTATCGTTCCAAATGTCGTCCGTGCATAGGTCCACTTGGGCTCCTCGCTCTCATTTCGTTTCGCGTCCGGGGTCACTTGTACAATGACCACGGTCGTGCTCATGTGTTGCTGGAAGTTTACGGCATCTGGTTTATCTCGTCGTTGAATGAAGTACGCATATTGATGAGTGCCTTACTGCAGCAATGGAGTTGGTTCAGCTGGTCTGCTGTTACTCTCTCGATGTCGTCCTGGCGAAGGACTAGTGGATCCCATGTTAGTTGTACTGTGGGCGTTCCATCCATGCTCTCCAGATGGTGATGGTCATGGCGCTCAACAAGGCAGGAATGGCAAAAATGTGCAGAGCTGATATCGAATGAACAGAATCTCGGCATGCGATTTCTCCGCTTCTAGAGAGTTCCAGATGCGATAGTTTGTGGAGACGGGTTTAACATTCATCAGATTGGCGCTAGGCTTTGAGTCAACTGCCAAACTCCGTTATAGCTGCGGTGCATGAGGAGAACTCATGAAAGCAATTGACAGTTATTTCTTGCTTCTGTTTAGCCTTCCAGGTTTGATATGGTGGAACACTTTATTGGTCGACGTTTCGAACAAATCGTCGTTTTCAAGACCTAAAAATTGGTTCGAAGCTCTAGTTTGTAGCCTATCCGCTCACACCCCACTAGTACCAAATGTTACGCTTCTCAGTAATCTCAAACCAAGATAAGTTCCAGCTAAAACCAACCTCTTACGGCTCCACCAGTACTGGGTCCCGCTCGGTTCCGTGGACAGCTGACGAAAAATGAGACACCCTCACTCAAACGTAGTACGTGCAGTGCGTGATGATCTCACAATTCGCATAAGGGAATGAAAGGCAGGAATTCACTCGTGACGGCCATGCACTCATTTCGGTTGTTCAGCTTTGGATTTCGCACACGGATGTAAAACGCTTCTAAGCATTTTTCTAGCACCGACATCATGTTCCTGGGTCAGGATTTTACATTCTATATCAAAGTCATTGCCCTGCATGTTTTTCAAACCGGTGCTTGCCAAGCGGAGTGAGAAGGCTTCCACGTCTTTTCCCAGCCAGGTGTTCTTTAACGCGTATACCTAACATCCTGCCTGTTTCCCAATATACGCTTCGCCACAGGTTGAACATTGAAGTTGGTATACAGTTCCTCTCAATGTGCAATCTCCATGCCTTCCATATGGACAAACAATGCAGTTTTGTGTAGTGCATGTACGGATCGTATAACCTATTGCGGATTAGCTGATGTTTAATATTGTCTTTTGGTACGTTAATCAAAACTACGTCGTTAGCTAAATCCGCTCGTGATATGCACTGCCGTATTGCTGCACTAATCCTATCTGATATGAAAGGCAATTGGAGAATCGCCATGTCCTCGCGATTTCTCGCGGTATGCCCTGGCGTGTCTTCGCGGTTTCTCGCGGAATGTCTTCGTGAGCCTGATCCTCCGAGTTGAGTTCCATAGCCATTCGCCTTTGTGATATCAGAAGCTAGCTTTCTCGACTCATCTCGCTCCATTTCGCCTGTACAAACTCCAACAGCTGTTTTGTACATGTTTCGGATAACCGCACTTTTTACAGCGCTGGGGTGTGCAGATCTCGCATGGAGTAGGATGTTCTTTGAACTGCTTTTCCTGTACCACTTCACACTATACGTTCCGTTTGAGACTTTTATCTGCGTATTTAAATAAGGTAGCCAGCCGTCGTGTGGAGCTTCTCTCGTAAACTTTATGTACTGCGACTGTTGGTTGAGAATGTTAATGTTACGTGCATCTCACAAGTTGATGCCGACCAACATTTTATTGATGTTCATTCTAAGATACATCACAAAGCAACCACCGAGAGGCAAAAGGAGCGCGAAGCGCACAGAGCAGAAAAAGCCCCTCTAATCTCCCAATACAATCATTTTATACCCACACTGTTCCTATGCTCCGCCTATCGTGAGTTTCCTCACGACTCTCCCGCGCCGGGGTTTCCAGATATCGAAATTTTGTTACGAGCGGAAAACTCTTCTGACCGAAAGTCGATGAGCAAGCACCGGCCAACATCAGTAAGTCATCCTCACCGTCCATTCTGCCGAGATTCACAGCTGGGCTGTGACCTCACAGTTGGCCCTCGGTTTTATTGTGCGAAAAAATGGTGAACTTTGTGGGACCCCTCCGGCGCCGAGTAAAAACAATAAGGCGTGAAATCGACCTCAATTGCATAACAAATAGCATACATAACCGTGAAATCGACCTTGATACACAATCAATACGCGATTTAAAAATGACAACATACAACAGCAAGGAAGTTACTTGATTTCCATTATTGTTGTTGTTAAACACTCCGTTGTTTTTTTTCTTTTTTCGTGTAGCCATTGTAGCCAGAGAATTCATTTGAGCGATGCTGTAAATAATGTCATGAATGTCGCTCTTTCTTTTGCTTTTACGACTTCCGACTAATCAAATTCGGTGCGTGGAAGCGTGCTTAGGTGAGAGTTGCGCGTGTTGTTTACGAGTTCAGTTCTCAAGCGCCGGATGCTCATATAGCGCGCAGCCTAATTTGGAAACATGTATGTGCAAAGAGCTGACACATGTGTTCGCGGATTTCTGCCGCGCTCCTGGCTACAATAGTAACACGGTACCAGCTGACAGTACCCGCCAGGCGCAAGGTGCTGTTGAAAGCACCGAAAACAGATGTGTAATTCTTAGCATGCGTGTACGTCGGGCGGACACTGTAGGGTAAACATCGCATTCCGTAGCGAATGCATGACTGTCTGATCCGCAAAGTAACTTACAACGGCCGCGTTTGATGAGAGGGGGTCCTTGCTGTTCCGATGTCTTCTCTGCCTGGTCTCGGTTCGCTTGCGAAGAAGTTTGGAAAATAGAAGGTCCTGGCGCTATCGTGAGTAATGCTTGCAACTGGCTTTCAACCATGAGGATGTTGTCCTTTGCTTTTTTTGCGATGACCTAAAAAGTTCGAAGGAATCAGAACATTGTTGCGAACATTATGCTATTCCTCACTAACCCGGAGACGACGTCTCCGTCGTTTCCCCAAGCGTGACCAATTTTGAAAAGCTAACATCGCTATCGTCTTCTTGAAAAAAGGACAGGAAGTAGCTATGTTTTACGAGGTGATTACAGTATTGCCCACCTCCTTCTCCATTGCATCTCGTCGGAAGAAAATCGAGTTCCGATGTAAGTTTAGTGACGGTTTCCTTGATGAATTCGATCGAGTTAGCCAATGCTTCCTCTTTACGATCCTTGACTACCGGGGATTCATGGCCATCTTGCGAGGAATCCGAATCGTGCTCCATGCCGTCGTCGGCCATTCTAGAAATGCAAATTAATGTTTCGTAAAATTTCGAACATAAATCTTATATAACGAGTGAACTGCGTATACGGCGAGGCGAAAAGGAAGTTTTATGAGCTTCAGCATTGCGATCACTGGAATGAGACATGGAACATACGAAAATATCAAAGAACATGCCGAACCGTTGCGCGATGAAGGCTGTTTTAAAGAGGACGAACATAAGTTAGTATCATAGCTAGTAGTACAAATGGCGTAACGAAAATCATGAAGGAGTACACAAAGTACTTTCTGATGACTCCTAAAAGTACGGAAATATCAGGAAAGAAAAATTCTGACTCATCATCAGGTTCCGAATCTAATTTTATGAGTTGCGAGAAATAAGGGAAATGGATGAAATGACGAATAAATTGTAGAGTTCCAGCGAGTTCGAGTATTACTGTATTGGAACCACAACGAGCCTTGCATATTTCCTTAATCTGGGCAACAGAGAAGGAAAAGCGTACGACCGTTGTTTTCGAATTCTGTGAACAGGGTATAGCGAACGAATGAGTGGCGCAATCTATTTGGGCTAGAGTGTTTTCTAGGTCCGATTGACATGAAAAGCTTGCTGTTGCTCCTTGTGTGCATCCATAGCAGCCCGTCAGTGGCGAAGTAACGATAGAGCAATTAAAGGTGTCGACTATGTTTGAGAGGCGTGCGTTTGAAATGTTCATGGAAATCGCGATTTCGAGAGAGGCTAATTGAGTTGTGACGATAGGATACTGGCTGCCCTTGGGCGATGGTTCGATCAAGAAGTTGGGGAAGGTTAAAGGTAGAGTAGATCTCAAAGTAAAAAGCTGGCTAGGATTGTTTTCATTGCAATAGCAATTCACCTCATTTTCTGCTGGTGTACACTTACAAGTGTCTTTGTACAATGCAGTCAATAAGATGAGTTGTGTTATGGCTGAGACATTTATACGCTAGGTCTACGTTCTCCGAGATCATAGCCATTTGTCCGTTATGACGAAGAAAATGCGAACGTAAAAAGGGGATTGGTGGAGTAGATAAGCTTGTCACAGAAAGAGTGTTTTCGAAAATAGTTTTTTGCGTATTTGGAGGAACTGTTATACGAAAATTATGCGTTTTGCCCTGCGATCGGCTGATTTCGAATTCAATTTCGAGGAATTCTGACCACGTGGGACAATTTATAACCTCATATGTACGGTTGTCTATAGGTTCCTTATAAATACGATAAAACAGACAACCAGACGAGGGATATCCACACCCGCAACCCCAGAACCCGCAAGACTCCGTACAATATGTGATACCTGGGAACTTGTTAGCTTCCGAAAGTTCTTCGATTAAGGAAGTTGCGTTAATATTCCCACATTTACGTCCAATACAAGATCCCTTAGTAGAGCATCTTTTACGAGATAGAACCTTTGTCTTAACGTTCCGTGCATAATACAGAATATTAAGGTTACATGCGAGGTAGTTCGTAATAAAGTGATCTCGAATCTGCTCCTTAATAATTCCGTTTGACACAATGGTTACACATGCTTCGTTCGACAAGGGACTAATCTTCAATAGGGCATTTTTGGTGAAATGACAGTCGAAGTTATTGCGTGAACATTCAAGTTGATCTGTAGATACTGTAAATGCTTCCTGACAGCTAAGGATGGGTGGAATTACGACACTAATCATGACGACAGAGAAGACGGTAACGAAGGCGGAACGTTTCAATTGAGTGCGATGAGGTGAAACGGCAACAAGAGGGACATTTTCTGTTGTATCTGAACAACTCCGAAAAAGATGACCCCAAAGAATTCGAGTTGAGCGAATGAGTCGCCTACAGAAGCATACGAAAACTATGGCGGACGTGATAAATCCGTATAGGACGAGGACTACGATAGCAATGGCCGTGCGGGGCCAGCAGGTTGGGTTGTTAATCATAAGTGAACAAAAATAGTAGTCGATCATCTCACAGAACGGACTAGGCGGACACGTAACGGATCTGATTATATTCTCATGCTCGAAGCTGGCTTTAACGCGAACATCGTAGGCGTGTAAACATACGCTCGCGGGGAACATTACGGTTGTTTCTTCATCGAAGACTCGCGTTTCGATACAGTGATTTTGCGCGCATGCTTGTACATCAGAAAGAGGTATAAGATTACGAATAGAAACGCCTCCCTTAATGCATAATACTTCCAATGACGGGGAATTGGCTGACGAGCTCAAGGCACTTGATGGAGTTACGAGTCCAGCAATCACTAAAACCGTAATCAGAAGCAAAGGGGAACTTGCGATGCTGCTGAAAAAGCTCGGAATTACGTCTATGTTCTCTGCATATCGCACATGCTTTTTTGCGCTGCGCGGCGGTTGTTTTCGTATCGGCACAGGCTGACTTTCCGACTCTCGCTTTTTCTCTTCCCTCCGACTTTCCGATTCATCGATTTTTTGTACTGTCTCCTCGTAGGACGATATCTCAAGCGGAATAAGTTGGTTTATGGATCGCTTCGTGATGATTCTATTTGCCTTTCGAACACTTACCGAGCGAATTATCTTATCAGCTCCTGGGTGTAGAGCTGTTATAATGCCGAGGTTCCATTGCGAGCGAGGTTTGTTACTATCCTCAATGAGCACAACGGCTCCCACGTGAGGTTGGATTCGAGACGAACGAGTGGTAGTAAGAGAACTCCTAAGAAATTGCAATGATGTGAGGTAGAGTTGTGACCACATCTCCCAGAAACGTGCGAGTGAATTTTTTGTTTCTCTCAGGAGTTCCTCTGCGTCTTTGTTCGTTCCGATGAGTTTGTATTCTGGGTCATAGTCCTGGTTCGAATCTCCATGGGGTGATGTTTGCGTGAGGGTGTAGAAAGTCGATTGGACGGATGGGTACGCCATCCTCCACGTCTGACGAAACATAGGTCAAAGGGCGACTGTTAACAATTGCTTCGCATTCAGTTACTACAGTTAGAAATTCGTCGTCTGATACGAATTTTCGTCTTAAAGTTTTGCGTAAGCATGATTTGACCGAACCTATCAAACGCTCATAAAACCCACCCTTCCAGGGTGAGAGTGGAGTAATGAAATTCCACTTCATCCCATTATTTGCGACAAAAGTGGTTATGTCGTTCATAGGTTCCGAGGTTTCAAAGAGTTTTTTAACGATTTCGTTGCCAGATTCGAACGTGCTAGCATTATCCGAGGTTATAGTTTGCGGTGTTCCTCGGCGTGATATAAAACGACGTAAAGCACGAATGAATTCTATTGCGGTCAAGCCTTTAACTATTTCGAGGTGGATGGCTCGTGTGCACATGCACGTGATTAAGCATATCCACCGTTTTTCGTGGATGGTTTCCGAGACTTTTACCGTGAAAGGTCCTGCATAATCTATTCCGACATGCTCAAATGGTCGAGATATACGCACTCTTTCTTCAGGAAGTGGAGGGGTTTCCGGGTATTTGTATGGTAAACCTTGAACTTTCTTACATGCGATACACTTTCGAAGAGCTTTCTTAACAGTTTGGCGACCGTGTGGTATCCAGTAGTTCCTCTGTATTTCTGAAAGCGTTGCGTTCACCCCCTGATGTCCGATTTTTTCGTGTGTGTCTTTTATTATCAGCCGAGTCAGCGCATGGTTAGGCAAGAGAAGGATTGGATTCGTTGCTTCGAATGCTAGTTGAGAATTTTCGAGGCGCCCTCTGCAGCGGTATATATGGTTTTTCGATACTAAATTCAAGTGTTTGAACGATTGGAGCTGTTTTTCAGTCATACTACGGTAATGATCTCGAATAAGGACGTTTTCTGCTAATTGCAGATCTTTCGCATTAATGTCTCTGTTCTCTGAGACGTGGTATAGCTCCGAACACAAAGATACTTCTCTGTTTTGTGAACTTGGATCTTTATAGCGCGATTTCGAAACTATTTTTATAAACTTCAAAACTATGGCTGTCGCGCGCTTCATTTTGGTCCAATTCGATAAACCGTAGCGGAAAATTGTAGAATGCTCGTTTACATCGACGCAGTGCAATTGAGTCAATACTTCCGACTCCGACCATTTCATCTGAAATTTATTGATCGACTCCCATTGCTCAGTGGGAGTTCGTAGAAACGCAGGTCCTGTCCACCATTCGTGGTTCTCCAGTTCTGTCTTGGACAGGCCTCGTGTTGCACAGTCAGCTACATTGTCGCTGGTGTTGACAAAATAATAGCTGCAGTCAACTTTTTTACGTTGCCATGACTCATAAAGAGCTCTCATCTTTCGAACGCGGTTGTTCACGAATGTGCCCGCGTTTTGACCCGAATGAAGTTGCGACAATGCAATGTTACTGTCCGAGAAAATGCGAATGGTATCAATTGGAAGGTCGAGTTCATTACAAATGAAGTCCGTTAACTGCGATGCAATTAATAGTGCTAAAAGCTCTAGCTTAGGAGTAGTTAACGTTCTCTGTTGTGTTAAATGGCTTATGGGAGCGAGACGATATTTGGCGCATATTAATTCACTTTCGATAGTATTTCCGTGAATTTTACGAAGATAACAACAGGTTGCGTAGGCATTATTAGAAGCATCGGCAAAGGTGCAGATTTCGAGTTTTCCTACTGGATTAGAGGGACAAATACTACGATGTAGGCGTTTAAAAAACGCATCTGCATTCCTGCACGTAGACTCCCAACATTTTATGTCTTGGTTCGATAGCTGGTCATCCCATTCATATCCCTTGGCCCATAAACTTTGAAGAAATACTCGGGCTGGGATCAGGAGTGGGATTAGGAATCCTAACGGATCAAAATTGGAGTGGATAGTGCGAAGAACACTGCGTTTTGTTGGATTATTCTGAAATTCGAGTTTCGACTGTAGTAGTAGGTGGTCCTTTCCCGTATCCCAGAGAATGCCCAATAGTTTTACCTTTGCAGCATTCGATCTATCCTTTTCCGGGATGCGAGACCGTAACTGAACTGAGTTCGTTGCGAATTCTCTTATGTTCATCGACATATCCTCGAAAATTTTTTTACTTAATTTGTATTTCGACTCAGCTTCTTCTACTGTGTCCGCATTGAGGATCATGTTATCTACGTAAAGATTCCGAGCAATCTCCTTACATAACGCTTTATTACTATTTCTTTCGAGCATAAATTTTATAGACATCGCTAACAACGAGGGACTTGTCTTGGTGCCGAATGGCACTCTTGTAAAACGAAGTTCACGTATATTTTCGAATGTAGGTGGTCTTGAGGTATCTTTTAACCATAGGAAACGTGTTGCATTACGTTCTGATTCTTGAAGGCGGATCATATGAAATGCTTTTTCGACATCCCCTATGATCAGGTGGTTTCCAGTACGACTACGAATGAGGATACCCAGGAGATCTGGAAGAATAGTTGGTCCTTTGTAAAGTACGTCATTCAGCGATAATTGGCCTACTCTTTTCGAGCTAGCGTCGAGTACGATTCTTACTTTTGTAGTGGTGCTTGTGGGTTTCACCACTGCTTGGTGAGGAATATAATATATGGGGCAGTCATTGCCTTTATCGGATTTGGGAACGTCTTCTATGATATTGCGTTCGAGTTGTTCGTCTATTATTTTACAGTAAGCCGACCAAACTTCATTATTTTTGCGTAAGGAGTTATATAATTGGTGAAGCCGACTTAGGGCGACTTTGTAGTTATCGCTTAAGTCCATTCTATTCATTTTCCAAGGGAATTTCACGAATATTTGTTTATCCCTTATTTCGATAGTGTCGTAAAAATTCTGTAGAATTTCCTGATTTTCGTCCGACTCCGATATGGGGATCAGTTATTCCGAAATTTTCGAGGGCCCACATTGCGGAAAGATCGAAATTTTCGTGTTCTGGTTGCGCTAACGACAGGAATGCATTGCTTGTCAGCCAGTTTTTTGATGATGCGTCGGCATTTCCCATTCCCGTTATAACGTGGCCAAAGAATGTAGGCACGGCGAGTAACCCGGAGGGTAACGTGATGCTAGGTTCCGAAGTATTGATAACGTCATTGTAATGATCAATGCCAATCAAAACTTCTGGGAAGATTTTGACATCTGACGTATTTAATAGATGTGCATCAACGTTATTACGGAGTATATAGTTGATATCCATTTTCGACAAACGAGGAATCGTTATTTTGTCAGTTAAAGTGTTCGTGGTGAGAAATTTCATGGGAAGGAGTTTGCCTGTTATTCCGATAGCGTCCGCAGACACCTGTTGCGAACGCTTGCGTTCCTGTTTCCCTCCGAAGGTGGAGACGAGACAAATAGTCTCTCCCAAGGAGGGTAACTTTAACCTCTGCGCAAGGGAAGTGGAGATGAAACTCCGAGTAGCTCCCGTATCGAAAAGAGCATTGATTTGCTCCATTTCTTTTGATATTGGATTACGGAGTGTTATCACCGCTACCATTAAACGTGAGGGAATATCTGCTCTTACGTAAATATTGTTAAGGTGAATTACCTCTTCTGAGCTGGATGCGGAGTCAGTCAGATCCGTTGTAGATATGGAGTTGACGACCATAGCAGACGTGCCGCCACTTGAACGCCTAGGCAGAGGTGTTGGAGATCGTGTGATGGCCGACGTCTTCTTGGGCCTAGCTTCCGTTGAAGGCGATCTGTCTGATGAATAATTATGGGTGCGAGAGTAGGAGGAAGAGGAGCGAGAGGAGGACCGCTCCCCCCGGTTGGTGCGAGATCTCAGAGACTTATGACGACTTCTACCTCTCTCTTTCGAGGTACCACACGGAGTATGCGATTCATTTGATGTACGTGAGTCGCGATGACAGGAATTGTTCCTACTGCGACTTCGACTACGGTTCAAACTACGACCAGGCCTGCAAAGCGCGATATTGTGTGGACCATTACAGTTACGACACGGTGGCTTAGAACAATCTTGGTACAGATGCTGTGCAGAGAAGCATTTAAAACATTTTCCAAGTGTTCGAATTCGATCTTTCCTTTCGTCTACTGTTCGATAACGATTACAAAAACGAAGCTTATGAGAGCCTTCGCATGCCGCGCATCGATATTGCGATGAGGATTTCGCCTGCGTTACCAAAATGGTAGATTTACTATAGTTCGGTTGAATATTCGAGGAATGTACTTGCGTTATTTCTAACTTTTTAACGATATTTCGAATTTCCAGACATAAGTTTCTCCATAGTCCAAGAAGCTGCGTCATCATATTCTTTCGATAAAAGCTTTTTTTGAATGCTAGAAGGAAATTTATGGAGAACCTTAGTTTTATATTCGATTGCGTCAATATGTGTCTCAGCTCTCGAAAGTGGTGTTATGACTGCCATGAGGTCATTTACCGTCCGTCGCAACTGAAAAGCGTCCTCGGAAGACTGGGGAATTTGTTCGAGTTGATCTAGTAGGAGCTTAATATTAAGATCTCGATTGTGAAATTGTTCTTTGAGTTGTTTTACTGCATCAATGTAACCTGATGCTTTACGAGGAATGTATTTTAGGGCTCTTGCAGCCTCTCCCTTACATTTATCTAGTAGGATAGTTAATTTTTCGATGTCCGAGTATGGCTGTTTATGTACGAGTTCCGAAAATATTTCCCAAAAATGCTTCAAATTCAGTAGGATTGCCATCAAAGTCTGGAATACGAAGTTCTTTGCGATACCAATGAGGCGGAATGCCTAATGGACGTGGGGCCTGCATAATGTCCGACAATGGTTGCGAAAAGGAGGTTTGAGGAATTTGTGTGAAGGAAAGAGAAGTATCATCGCGCATACGTGTACGAACATCGAACTCATCAGCGTATGATACGTGCATTTCCTGTGTTTCGAGCTCCATTAATCTTATTTCGAGCTTCTGTATCAACGCTCGCGCCGATTCTAATAGCTCCTCTCCTTTACGTTCTTCCCAGTAGTTTTCGAACTCCTTTATAACGTTTTCGTTTGGGGGTTCCGTGTCCGAGATGCGGGATAGGGTCTCTTCATAGATTTTCGTAATTCCCTCAAGTTTGGTTTCGAGTTTTGTTACGATAGTGCTTACAAGTTTATGATGGGTATGGGTAAATACGTAGAGTTCTTTTTGAGCTTTGGGGAAATCCCACGCCTCGTCATATTGCGAGCATTCCGAAATTATATGAGTTATATCGTTTAAATGGCGAGTAAGCCTCTGCTTAGCAGAGGAAAGAACTGCACGCGACATAAAAGCTGATAGGTGGTTAAACCTTAAACACGATAGCAAACGTTTCGTGTAACAGCTAGGGACGGAGGATTGGTACTGTGGTCTTTTATATGTATATCTATTGTCGCGAGCACTGCGTCACGACGAGATAGGGGAGCGCTTGATGGAATCCGATGAGAAAGAAAACATTTTGCCGCCATTCTTGTGTTGCGTAATGTTGCGAAGTGAAGCGCTATCTTTTATCCCGAGAATATAAACATACGAACAGTGGCATGGGAATGATCCTTTCCGCAGATCCTTACGAGAATTACGACATTTCTGATGGATTCAGAGTGCTGCATAGAAACACGTTAAAAAGATTCATGAAAATGCGCATTGATTCGCAACCAAGCGCAGGTCACGGGCGTCCCTCGTGGACCTCCCGACCGAGTCTCAGGAGCTCGGTGTCCCTCGTATACGAACAGAACGGAAATATGAGACAC